TGTGGTAATCCTCTAGAGGTATGATGACTACCGGATGAGGAAATTGTCTTGGCATATCTCTTTACCATAGTTAGTGTTACCTTGTCGTGCTTTTATATGTGTTGACTCATTGTTAGATCAGATAGTCTGTCTCCGAAGCATGTCTTCCCTTTGCGGCGTTGTGGTGGCATTTCTGTAGCGACTTTGTAACTGTCCTTTTGTCAAGAACATAGAGTTGGTGTAATGCTTGACCTTTTCGCAAAAGTGGTTATGTTTTGATTTTACACGACAATTCTAGTCTTATACGGTGTATGGAATTTGCTCTGTCTTAGCGAAATATATATCTTACATTCATTGGGGGTGGTGTTGTTGTTTAGTTCAATTGTTTTGTTACAGTTCTTCGTGAGCTAATGCTTTATGTCATTATCGTTCTTTTATTCGCTTTTTGTTTAATTTAGGGATACCTTTGTATTCACTGTCTGTTTTGTTCGCTATCATTTCATGTGTGTTGTGTTTAGGTGTGTGCTGCCGTTTGCTGGTCGTAATTCGGGTGCATGTGTACTCGCATTTATATTATTCTTTTATTGCGCACATTAGCGTGATGATAGTATTTTGTTTCAAAGAGCGTGTCTGTTTATGTGTAGAGTGAGGGTGGATAAAAGAAGTTATTGTACTTTAAATAAGTGTCATCACGAAATGTTTTATGAGAGGTTACTGCGTATTTTCCCGGCCGATGCACCATGTTCTGATTCAGTGGTGGTTTACAAGGTGTTAAATAAATTATTTATTTATTTCACGCAACTATGAGTAAACACACAATGGAGAAGAGAAAGAGAGAACAGAAACTGTTATTGTTATTCGTTCTTACATTTCGCACTTGTCGACGTCTTAGATTATGTGTTCTAGTGTAAGCTGTCTTGTCATCTTGACAAGGTGGCGAGTCCGACTGGCATAGGTTCGTCGTAGCGTAGGTGTAGAAGTTAAATTAGGGTAGCTGGTATGCAACCGTAGTCGCTTGACAAGATGAGCGGAGCCCCAGAAGGAAAGAGAGAAGAGGTAAATAAGTCTAACTAAAGGGGCACCGGAGCAAGACTGCCGCTGCTGCCCGGAGCGCGCTCCTTATACCCCACAAAGATGGCAGTATATATACCTGTGCTAGAAGGTGGTTCGGTGGGCATGGCAAGTTGGAATTGGTTGTAATTTGTACGCGGTATAATTTGAAATGTATATGCCGTGGATTCGGGTGTCCAGTCTTTATTCATGACTGGAAAGTCAGGACATGGGGCACGACGAAACACTTCCCTTGAAAAAAAGGTGGGCTTCGTTCATCCTTGAAGAACTCGAAGCTATTCAGGAATCTGACAGCGGAAAAGCACAGATGAAGGGGTCTCGCCACGAGGATTGATGAGAACCAGTAACAGGAGAAACATGGGAATAGGAGGAACAGACGCGACCGTCCGTCCACTTCGATCCGTAACAAGAGTCCGAAATTCGACATTGGGTTTTTCCGCGAACGATGATGGATACGATGCTTGTAGATCAGGGTTTCGTCTAGCACTGATCTCTGTGCTTGATAAAAAGAAACTTGAATAAAAGAGGATGCACATGAGGGAGTAACTCTGAGAAAGAAATAAAAAGGTAATAATAAATCAAAAAGTATGATTGCTTGAGTACACACCAATCCTTTCGAAATTCAAAGGGCGAGCAGTTTTCCAGGAAACCAACAACATACCTCTCAATTGGAGCACTTTGTTACAGTAGGCCGTCAGCTCGTGTGGATTCAAGAAGGTGAGGGACATTCGGGACACCATGATGCTAGACGGTATTATATAGGTGTGGCACGATAAATATGGTGACAAGATTGAACTGCAGCAGATGCATTCACTGGACAATGAGCAGACTCATAACTGTACCTTTAGATCCACCTTTGTCTTTCTATTAATGCAATGATTTAATGGTTCCATGATCTTTATTTAGCATATGGCTTCACTTGATCCGAAGCTAGTGTTTTAGCTTCACTTGCTGCCGGGCGGATTACATCCGAGATCTACCGTATCCGAAGAAGCGTTATACATCGTCTGACGGTTACACGATGCACAATTAAATATCATATTCGTCTTTCTCACAGAGCTGGATCGGTTATGGAAGCCTAACGACTACTGAGAATATTGTCAGAAAGCGTATTTACTGTGGTTCAATGAGGGCCATGGTAAAATTGACTACGGATTCAAAATTATCGTGGCAAACGCAAAGAGTCTAGCACAGAAAGTTTGGAATACACTCAGAATAACATCAATTAATGTCACTCATTCCTCTCTCGGATAGGCTAGGAAGAGCAAAAGAGCTAAAAGAATTGAGGACCTGAGCGCTGCGCGCAGGCGAAGATCGTATGTGCAATGATGTAGTAAAGTCGTATTTTTCAATGAGAGATCATCGGCTTGCGTTCGAAAACAATCAAAAACAACGTCATATGTTAAAAATATCAGATTTCGCAGTAGCGCAACGCACAGAGCACTTATGCTATACGAAGTTATTACGAGTAAAATCTTAAGTCACATGAAAAGTATTTGGAGGAAGGTCCCGTCGTCTCCACGAAAGGGAACGATTGGACTAACTAGCAAGTCGTATGCCAGATTGCATTTTGTGAAAATCTGCTGCAGAGCCCATTTCCTCGACTATGGGTTCCACAAAGATTGACTACTGAAAACCACCGGCTTAGTGTAGCGGACTATTCACTGTGGTCGATATTGATGCTGAATGAGGGCGGAAAACATCGCATTTTCAATGAGTCGCTAAAAGCGTCTCTTCAGAGTATGAGTCAAAGTGCGGTGTGGCGATGGCAGAAGCTTTTGAGAAGTTGGAAAGAACACACACATTTAAAGCAGGAAAAGTAGAAGAGTAGGAGCGACGACTGATGCATCAAGAGAGTCAAAATCCCCTTTTCGAGCATGGACAGAAGAAAGGGGGTAGCGGCACGTTCGAGTAACTCAGGGGTTAGGATTAAGAGTAGAACGGAAGTCCTTCCTTGGACACCATTGGCACGCATCCGATGCTGTGCGATCTTTACGATCGTTATGACCGGACGACTGGCTATGTATGCGCCCACCGATTTGTATATCCCGCCTGCTTTGAAAGCGTTCGTCTCCTTCTTATCAGCTTTCAAATTTGAGTTTTTTTTGTTTAAAACCCATCACTGTTCTTGACTAGAACTAATGCGTGTTTCCAGCCCTTTATTATCGGAACTAAAACCCCTGCTGGGACTGTTGCTTATCGGTATATGGGGGATAGAAGTTTTCCAAGACAGATTTATTTGATGCGTATATGCAATTAGAGTTAGAGCACGAAACCAAATGGGTGCCTAAAAAAGAGGAAAAAGAGCCGAAGACCACAAAAAAAGCCCCTCACTCTGCTCATCCAATGTTGGGATTAGGCGCCTCACTCTCACCTTGAACTCTTGATTTTTAAAACCAAACACGTCTTTACGACTGTGTAAGCCAGTAGAACCGCGTTATAAAGCTATTGGTACACCTGTGTTCTGGAATTGTCCTAATTTGAGCAAATTAATCCTACATAAACATGTGATGGCATGCCAAAGCTCAGTGGAATAATTGATATACGATAAAATAGCTACAGGGAAGTGAAAAAATGCAACTACAATTCTGGTTTTGTAATATCCCCCACAAGGTCCTATAAGAAACCCATTCACAGTCGACATCATTTCTGCTGCTGTCGGGCGCTTTCGAAAAAAAAACCGCTCGCCTAACTTCCGGTCCAATTTTAGAGATCTGTGATCAAAAACACCTGAAATCTTCAATCAGGACCATTCTAAAGGCATTATTCTCTCATTACTTGCTGCCAGTGCTTACCAAACCCCGAATATAGTTCGCCGGGTTTTGTAGGGTATTGCGCATCGCTACTCAAACACGTACTATGTATTCACAGGTAAATAGCGGAATCCAACGATAAAAACACCTAGTTTCCGCGCAGAGCCGCAGATTTCATGTTCCTTTGCTGCGTTCCAAAGAACTGGGCCAAACCTATTCATTCGGCAATCCTTAGTTATCCAAAATGAAATGCACGACAAAAGTAATGTGTGGTGCTGCTTACCACGCAAATAACCGAGGATCAAATACTATGTCGCACGTCGTCTGGCAATCACATCCTTCCAAGGTCCGTTCATTGATAGCAGACTTGTGTAGAAATATAGAAGCACTTGATTTCGGCTGGCTCCTGCTAATCCTTTTAGACCCCGCATTCAGTTCGATCTTGAATGGAAGAGGAATACGTGGAGCATCACTAATGGAATAAACTTTGTCGAACGGTTATCCGAAAATGTAATGTATATGTGCTATGCCAATATACTAGAGTTATACGTCCCGCCAATTCCAGTCCTGGTTTTGTGGAGCAATCATCGTTGACCTTTCCTCATCGCGTGTGTCATGATTCATGCGGAAGAAACGCCGTTGACCCCATCGTTCTCATCAAATATTTCGAAGACACTGAAAGGCTCTCAATCCTTCGGTGCTGTGTCTCCGAGATTTTTGAGTTGTCTGTCACCATTGCGGTCTTTTTGCTGTGGTAATTCTGATTCGCTGTGGGCAAATCTCGCGTGGCGACTTTCAGCGCTATTGATACTCGATCTTCTTACCTATAGGTGCCAATCGGATTTTATAGCTACTCGTAGAATCGCCTTCAACTTAAATAAGTACAATATTTATTGATCTAACCTCTAACAATCTGCCGATTCCAAGAAATAAATGCAGCACTGAATAACTGAAGTAACAGATGAATAAACGAAGCTGCCACAGAAGAGAATAGCGCGTAAGGTCGTGATCACAAGACGAGATGGGGACTGCTCCCAACGGACGATCAGCTGCCACTCGGACCAAGTCACCTCCAGCTCCTTGCTTATGTATGTAACAGGCTCGACGCCTTATCGCGCCATCTCTTCCCCCGCGACAGCTTGAGAGCATTCCAATCTCCTGCAGTAAACATTATTACCGTAATCTCTAAGAATGTAACTAAGTGAACATCCTGAAAGTATTTCTATTGATCGCTTTATGATAAAGATGGTTAACCTTGTATCACTTACCAGAAATCAGGGAGGACGTTCGTCGTTACTCCCCGCACGCAATTTTCGGGGCTTTCCTCGAGTGGTTGCCCATCGTATGCGTGTTGTCGTCGCATCTCATGAACTCGCAGTTGTTCTTCGCGCCCATGACGCTCTCGACGTCTTCTGTGTTTGCGCTCCGATTCAGCAAATGCCTCCTCGGAATCTTCTTTTGCTCTTTTTAGTGCTACGCTTGCTTCTTCTTTCCGATTGGGAATGTTACAGAGCGCCGTATGGTGATCGATCCCGTGTCTCATGTAGTCAAACGGTGTTCCTCGAACGCGTTCACAATAATAGCAAGGTTTTTGCGCACGCGGGCACTCAGCTTCCCAGTGGTACATTTCCAGACACATTCTGCATAATCCTTCGTTCAAAATGATGTCGTACCTTTCGTCTCCATCCGTGATGTTCGGGCAGGAGTCTGAGAAACATTCAGCTTTGACTCGACAAAACGCGCACATCATTCCCGGATGGACCCCTGGCGATCTGTGTTCCTTCTTGCGGTACGGGAAGTTCTTGTATGTCTCTTGAAAGCAATTCATTTCATCTTCAAGCAGACGACATCGCAGCCCCCATTCTTCGATCTCTTCTTCATCAGCTTCGATTGGTCTTCTCTGTTCATGAGGTGGGAGGTCTAGTAATTTTTTTGATCACTCTGTTGTTCCTCCTGTATTTCTATCTCTTCTCCGTCTAACTCATTTCCATTAGGGGTGGTATCTCGTCATTTTTAGCGACCTCGCGTCTCATTTGCTCGAAGTATTCGTCGTCCGTTGGTTCCACATTTTCTGTTTTCTGGTGAGACTCGCTTGGGCTGGGTCGTGCTCCCTCATCTTCAGACGCGTTATTTCTGCTGACTGGTTGCTTAAGTGGCTCTGGAGTTCAAAAATTTTTCGTTGAATTTCTTCTTGTCCTCCAAGGTTAGAGTCTCGAAGGCTTGTCTGAATGACGCGTTGATGTGCTCCACGTGGGCGGAGCATGGGTCCGGATTCTGAAATCATTTTCAGCACGATTGGAGTAATGTTTTTACTTCCTCTATCAGAGCCGTCAGCTGTCTCGTCTGGCTATCTATTATGCGTAAGCACTCATATATCTCCTTTTCGATGATTCTTCCGGAGCTCTTATCGGCCATATTCTTGTAGAACAGTTTCGTGAAGGTGGATCTCACTCCGATGTGTGATATCTCCTGCTTCGTTCTTTCCATCTTGTGCCACAAGTGCGAAAGCGTGATGATCTTAGCTGCTGGAGTTGCAAGGAAGGAGGGTCTCATCAGATCGTGTGTAGTTCCACTCTTGTTTGTGACTCGATGCCACCTTTACTTTTAGGTGAATTGCTCAGACAGGTCATTCAGGTCCTTGTTGGACTGGCTGTTCAGTTCTCGTGTGGATCGATCATCGTACGCGTGATGAACTCCGTGTCGGTCAACTCGTCGATGGACATGCTAAAATACGCGAATTTGACAACTTGAGACTCGCCGGACTTATGAATTAGAGATAAAGTAACCGACCTGAACTGTGGTGGTTTCCAATTTGTCTACACGTTCAACTTCGTTAGATTCGCTTCTTCGACCCGTTACCACTTGGCCGATGCACCAATAAGTTGTGGCGATTTTCAACGCGAATATACTCGATTCTTCTTACCTATAGATGCCACGCGGATTTTATAGCTACTCGTAGAATCGCCTTCCAACTTAAATAAATACAATATTTATTGATCTAACCTCTAAACAATCTGCCGATTCCAAGAAATAAATGCAGCACCGAATAACTGAAGTAACAGATGAATAAACGAAGCTGCCACAGAAGAGAATAGCGCGCAAGGTCGTGATCACAAGACGAGATGGGGACTGCTCCCAACGGACGATCAGCTGCCACTCGGACCAAGTCACCTCCAGCTCCTTGCTTATGTATGTAACAGGCTCGACGCCTTATCGCGCCATCTCTTCCCCCGCGACAGCTTGAGAGCATTCCAATCTCCTGCAGTAAACATTATTACCGTAATCTCTAAGAATGTAACTAAGTAAACATCCTGAAAATTTATTTCTATTGATCGCTTTATGATGAAAATGGTTTACCTTGTATAACTTACCAGAAATCAGGGACGACGTTCGTCGTTACCATGAGCTTTTTCACCAATGAATAGTTCCGACGGCCTTATCTTAACAATTACCTCACTGTGAGATCTTTGTATATAGTGGCACTCAAAAGAATTCTGCCAAATGCTTTTTCGGCCGTAACATTTTATCTGGTGAGTGGAATTAGTTCGAAATTTATGCTTTGAATACTGAACTTCCGAACAATATTGGCGCATTCTTGTCATATGGAAGCAATAGGGAAGGATGCAAAAACTATTTTACTGGAAATTCCTGAGTATGACCAAATTCTGCGAAAATCTCGAGGTGTTGTAAAAAGCTTACAATCCAGCAGAACAATGGACCGCATGATAAATAAAATTGAGCAGATCTAATACTTTGCTGATAAATTTTCACTGTAAACGTTAGCAGAGCCTAAGTATGCAATCAGTCGCTGAAATCACTATCTGCTGGGACAATTTCCTCATGTTCCCTTAAATTTACGAGTTTTCATGATATTTATTTTTCTTTGCTGAGCTTCTTATACTCGTGAGTCTTTTTTCTGCCAAAGGCAACGCCAATTTTCTTTCCACACTCGCTCCTACACATAGTATTCCGATGACGCTCAGAAGATGCGTCTAAATTTCTCCATATCTTGAAAGCACGCCATGCTTGAAATCACTCTTGCACATTGGAGGTGCGATGTCGTATACATCTCAACCGTAGCTGCGTAAGCACCGAGTCAGGTACCGTGCTGGGCCATACCTATGGGTGCATAACATCCAACAATCTACAACACAACAATACAACACTACAATCTACCTGGAGACATTCACCACTCCTCCAATCTTGTGAGGATGTCCGACTGCGAGGAGAAAGGGAATGGAATACTAGGTTTGCCCATCCCTGAACTGGAGATCCTTGCAGGGTTTCAACGTCATCTGGAGCGATTAGTGAAAATCTAATATATTTTTTTATTTATCAGGGTGATGAAGAGAGCGAAACGGCGGCATCTCTGGAGGCGAGCCGAAGTCAACGTAGGAGGTGGGAAGAGTACTTCAAAGTCTCACTGAACAAGAAATCTCCCGCAGCAAAGAAAGACAGAAACAGACGAATCTGCAGAGGCCAGCAGTCGTCCCACAGCACTTGGACATTGGGGATAGTTCGGAGGCTACTTATGGAAGATGAAGGTAGGAAAAGCAGTTGGGACGGATGGATTACCCACAGAAGCTTGGAAGCGCGCTTGGAGAGCACGGAATAAGGTGGCTGACTCGCTTCCTCAATACGGTGACTGCCGAAGGAATGATGCCTGATGCCTGGAGAACAAGTACTATCGTCCCCATCTTCAAGCAGAAGGGTGACGCGATGGACTGCTCCAACTACCGCGGCATCAAGTTGACTGCGCATACCATGAAGTTGTACGAGCGCCTGATCGACTCGAATCTGCGGGAGCTGGTCCAGATCATTCGGGTTCATGCCCGAAAGGTCTACAACGGTGTGCCTAGTACTTCATCTCTAGGCAAGTGAGGAGAATACGCGAAAAAGCCGAGACCTAGCCTGCCTCGCCTGCGAAAAGCGTTAAACGCTACATGGGCGATGGAGCATTCAACGTCAGAATGGAACTGTTGCCACTTGTACAGGCGTAACCAGGGTCAACCCTATCGTTGTTACTCTTCGGAAATTTTTTACGACCCCCCCCCTTCATTCAGGTGGTTTGATACGACCCCCCCCCTTTGTATGTAACACTTGTGTAGAGACAGTGTTTACCATCAATATTTATTTCTACGTAAGTCATTAAAGATGAAACTTTAGCAAAATCCACGACAGAAATTCATCGCTGCTTGCAAACACGAAAAAATGAGATGCATTCAAAGATATCCGTGTACTCCAAAGGGTTACCAAACTAGGAGATGAAATAAGCTGAACCAGTGACCGGAATATTGACAATATTACCTGATAAAAACTTATGAGAAGTCAGAAAAATTATCGCTCCAATTGAAATACTGAAATCCTTCACGTTCTTCAATTGCAACACAATTTTTACACCCCTCTTTCTAAGGCTATAACTTCCTTCATATTCGAGCTTCAGCGCCGAAGTGATTTGATTTGGAAAATTCAAATTATTCTCTCTCCAACCATAGGTAAAAATTCTTCGAAAGTTAATTTAATAAAAATTTAGTACGTTGTTACTTTTTTCTGTGCAAAGCGACTTTTTGACCTTCAAATGATCATAACTTCTTTCAAAGTCACTCATTTGGGAAGCTGAACACGTATAATAAACTACAGGATTCAAGCTTTCTAAGGAGCACCCAAGCGTTCCTGAAAGATCAGTAGTTCAAAAATTAGTCCCGTTGTTACTTTTTTGGGGGTTTGCGTTACTATTTTTTTGGAACCGCGACTTTTTGACCTTCAAACGATCATAACTTCCTTCAAAGTCATTCATTTGGGAAGCTGAACACGGTGTAATAAACCACAGGTTTCAAGCTTTCTAACGAGCACCCAAGCGTTTCTGAAAGATCAGCAGTTCAAAAATTAGCCCGTTGTTACTTTTTATTTTGAGGGGTATTCTTCAAGCCATTTTCTCGAAAACGCGAGTTTTCTTAGGTTTCACTGCCCGTAACTTCTTGGAAGACCAATTTTATGTTTAATTAGGATGTGCTAGAAAGCTCCGAGCATGCGCTTGCACTACATCCCTTGCCTTGGTGCGCGCCACGCCTCGGGCGCCCTTCTAATTCGCTGATTCATTTGAAAGCTCATTTAGAGGGAATCGTGGTTTATAGATGCTGTATCAGTCATCTTACGAAAACGTAACGTGCTGGCTATTATCCGATATTACCAAGAATCCCACTGTCGGCCACCGAGAGGGTACGACCCCCCTCCCTCCAAGCTCAACTGAGTACGACCCCCCCGTTGTTACTCGTAACAACGTAGGGTTGACCCTGCCCAACCCCATGGTTAAGACATTTACAAGAAGCCAAGGCAGCTATACGCACCCCATACGGCCTAACGAAGGAGGTGGACATCACGGTCGGGGTGCACCAAGGGTCAGCTCTGAGCCCGTTCCTCTTCCTCCTAACACTAGATGGCCTGGTGAAGGGGCTCATGGAGGGACCACTGAAGACCATCCTCTACGCTGACGACGTCGCCTTGATAGCGGATAGTAGAGAGGAACTTCAAGCCAAGGTGCAGAAATGGCAGAAAGTCCTGGCAGAAGGTGGGCTACGGCTGAATGTCAAGAAGACCAAGTTCCTGAGCTCCGAAGAGGGTGCAGAGCCGATCGTGGACGGCCATGGTGAGACCATCGAAAGAGTGGAGGACTTCCGTTACCTTGGGAGCGCATCTGGCACCGACGGTAGTGTGGATCAGGCGGTGAAGGCTCGGGTCAACGCTGCATGGATGAAATGGAGGGAGTCCACTGGAATCCTCTGCGATCGAAGGTGCTCCAGAGCGCTCAAAGGGAAGGTGTACCGGACAGTGGTAAGGCCTGCGATGCTCTACGGCAGCGAGTGCTGGGCCTTGAACAAGATTCAGGGAAGGCAGCTTCACTCTGGATTTGAGTAAATTTTTTCTCCAAAAGGTGGACTGGAGAGGGGAGCAGATACTCCTTCGTTGACATGTGCTACACGGCGAAGCTAAAAGAACCGCGGGCCTGAAATTTCCCAATTTTTCGTGGATTTTCTTTGCCAGGTGGAGTCGAACGATCCAGAAAAATTGGACTTTGTCTCATTTTGCTTTAATTCTAGGGCGTCGCCGTCGAGCTGTTCACGCTTGGTCCCTTCACTGACCTGGTACTGTTGGTGTTGCTTTTTAGTGCAAAGTCCATTTCTTATTCGGGTACTCGGCAGGAAGCCCGTCGCGCTTCAAGAAGACAGAGTCAGCGGGGAAATCGCGGCGCATGATGTACAATTTAGGACGTACGATGGTACATACTAGTTACTTAACGCGAAACACTACAGTGCGCACTGCAACCCGCCGTTGACATTGCCCACTTGCCGCGCGACGGGCCTCCTGTCGGGTACCCTTCGTATTCTACCAACAACTCAGAAGGATCGAATTCGGAGGCTTGTGCTTTTAATGTCATAACTCCCCATTGGTTTGAGCTAGTTTACTGCCGCTTGCCCCCAGCGCTTAGCAGCACCCAGCCCACGTTACCGGTGATGCTGGATGGTCGATCGCTGGAACCATATGAAACCATTAGGAGGACCTTAGGACCATTAGGGACGACGTCATGTCGTGCTTGGAGCATATTCAGGGTCAGAGCATGTGAGCTACATATTCTATATTTTTAATTCTTCACAATGCTGCTGCTTCACAATGTCACTTTGTCGCACCAGAAGCGCTCTGACAAAGAGCGATCAGATTATTCAGA